ACACCTCTTTATTTAGGTATTTAGGTACTTAAACCTATTGATTTAGGCACTTACACCTATTTATTTAGGTATTTAGGCATTTACACCCATTGATTTAGGTATTTAGCTACTTACACCTATTGATTTAGGCATTTACACCTATTGATTTAGGTATTTAGGTACTTATACCTATTGATTTAGGTACTTACACCTATTTATTTAGGTATTTAGGTACTTACACCTATTGATTTAGGTATTTAGGCACTTACACCTATTGATTTAGGTACTTACACCTATTTATTTAGGTATTTAGGCACTTACACCTCTTGATTTAGGCATTTACACCCATTGATTTAGGTATTTAGCTACTTACACCCATTTATTAAGGCATTTATACCTATTATTTTGGGTAGTTAGGTACTCACATCCCGGAGCAGGAGGAGCAGGACAAGTCAAGGGGCAGCACAGGCTGTGGCCTCCTTCAAATATTTCCTTTTGAAATGCCTATTGAGGTATTTACACCTATTGATGTAGCTAATTTACACCTATTTATTTAGGTATTTATACCTCTTCATTTAGGTATCTTCACCTATATTTATGTAGCTAATTTCACCTATTGATTCAGGTACTTAAACCCATTTATTTAGCTACTTACACCTATTGATTTAGGTATTTACACCCATTGATTTAGGTATTTAGGTACTTACACCTATTTATTTAGGTATTTAGGCACTTACACCTCTTGATTTAGGCATTTACACCCATTGATTTAGGTATTTAGGTACGTACACCTATTCATTTCGTTATTTAGCTACTTAAACCCATTGATTTAGGCATTTACACTCATAAATTGAGATAGTCACGTCCTCACATCCCGGAGCAGGAGGAGCAGGACGAGGTAAGGGGCAGCGCAGGCAGCGTCCTCCTTTTACTCCCGAGCGCGGCTGCGCCACGGCCCCGTGCTTCCTCATATGGGGGAAAACAAAGAAATAAGGGCCCCCCCCCCCAAAAAAAAAAACCCCACCCAAAGCCCAAAGGAGCATGAACACTTTGTGTCTCTTTGAATTTGTGAGGG